TTTGCTAAGCCTGGCAACCAGAAATACGTCGAGACAGCATATTTCGTGAGTCATCTTCCAGTGCAACAAGGAATGGTCGGTCGCTAACAGCATGCAGTGGTTCTTCCTCTACGAGGTCTTTTATTGCACATCGATCATCTTCGTCAAGTTGAGCATCGCCTTCATGCTGAACCGGATAGCCGGCAGGAGAATGGTCTACATCTACATCAACTACGGCATCATGGGCCTCTGCGCGGCGACCAATCTGGCAGCTATCCTGTACATCATCTTCCAGTGTTGGCCGGTGGAGTAAGTACAAAGCAATCCAATATCACGTGGTAATGCTAACCGTATACTTCTCAGGGCTGCTTGGAGGGCTGATCTCATGGCCGAAGGGACCTACTGCCAGCCGCCAGTGTATCTGCAAAACGTCTACTTCTTCTGCACTTCGGTCAACATCTTCACCGACTGGGCTACTGCGCTCATGTAAGTAACTCTGAATCAGGCTATCGAATCGGCGCTAACGACGGCCAGGCCAATCGCTCTGCTCTGGAATGTTCAGATGAACAGGAACACCAAGATCTCAGTCGGTGGCATCTTGAGCTTGGGTATCTTGTAAGACTACTCATGAACTTGACGTCAGCACCCTGCTAATATTGCTATAGCACATCCATCTCGGGCCTCGTCCGCTTGAAGTACACCGTTGGCCTGACGAGCAGCCACGACTATCTTTGTAAGCACCACTGCACTCTCATTATCGCGCGGCACTAACATCACATCCAGACGGTCTCGCCAACATCCTCATCTGGGGCTACGCCGAACCCGCCCTCGGCATGCTCGTCGGCAACATCGCAACCCTCCGCCCACTCTTTCAGCGCCTCCTCCACCTCGGCTCAAGCGGCTCCCACCAGCCTCGCTCGGGTACACCCCACGGGGTCAGCAACCCCAATCGTTCACACCGCTACAAGCCTTTTGACACCGAACTCGAGCTCGGCACGGTCGCAGACAACCAGGAGACACACATGCCGGCGATCAAGGTTCATGCGGGACGTGTTAGTGTATCGAGCGATAGCGAGAGTCAGAAGGAGATTTTGGAGAAGAATGATCGGTTTGTTAATAACAACAAGGATAGCATTGTTGTTAGTCGGCATGTGGAGATTAGTCGCGATTAGTTCCTCGTAGGAGTGGCTACTTGACCGTCTGAGGGTCGCGTGAGGGGAGCAAGTACGACAGGTTCATGACTGTATCATATTGTTTATATATCATGTCTCTCGTTACCATCCGAGGAGTAAGAGTGTATTTATCCGCTTTTTTCTTCATAACATCAGCTTGAACGTAGCCATTAATATCGTTTTGCAAAGTTCTTTCGTACTGATTTACGAGCATATGTATCTCGTGGTTCACGTGCTGCAGTGCGACGCAGCTCAATAGACAGCAACCATGAAGTTCAGCGATGCTTGTTCTCACAAAGTTGGGACACTCTGCAGGTGAGGAGGCTGATTTTGCTCCACAGCTGCCACATCATCGAGTTGATATAACTGAAGCCAGGTGCATTGCGTAAAGCATCATCGTATGCTTGAAACTTCGGAGGAGAAGCTTATAGCATCCATATCCATCGCGACACGGCTATCTTCCGATGCAGGTAGCTAAACACACGACCGAGGAATCATGAACCGCTTGTCCCATTGTTTTGTTTCCGAGAAAAGAGCAGCACTCTCATCACAGTCTTTTGCGCAGAATGTCTTTCGATTCCGGAACTGAAATTTGTATTTGACAAGATAGACAACGACGTGAGAGCGTGGCTTTATACGCAGGAGGTTGAATGGCACTAGTGCTCTTGCCGCTAGATCGATCAGCCAACATGATCATGCTTTTGACAAGATTGTCAGCATAGCCGCCCGGCATACGTGCGAGCGACTGCAAATTGCTGTCTCATAAGACGTGAATATAACACTTTGTATAGATGATCGTTCGAGTCGACGCCCACATACGTTTTTGGTCTGTTTGTTTTGGGTACCGACTTCCCAACACATGAACTTTCGAAATCAGTTTTTGGTACAACAGCGTCCGGGAGAAGGTAATTACCCAATTTCAAGGACAGAAAAGCACATACTTTGTCGAGCTGAGGATTTTGGGTCAACAGCATGCGAACATAGCTTTGCGCAATGATGATTTTGAGAAGACGCGAGAGACCACAGCCATTCTCCGGAACTGTGTCATTTTTCGTAATTAAACTTTTGGAAATGCAGGAATTGAAAAGTAAAACTGGGAGAACACGAGCTTTGTATGCAAGCAGCCGAGTGCGCAAGTATTATCGAACGGATTTGTAAAGCACTGAGACGAGCGAAAGCAACATTGTCATATCGCGGCCAGGTTTCTCTGCCCGAGCGAGGAGAGCACATTTCTGGGACTTCAAAATCTTTTGAAACGATGACAGCGGGAAAGAATCTCTCAGGGCGCATGCGTTTACTGGAGCACGTTTTTCGAGAACCCGACGGTGGCTCGTTTGGAAGGACAGTGTGAGCACATCGCGGATACAGGGCTCTTTCTAGTTCCGTGAGAAGAGAAACTCAAATCTTTCATGGAATGGAACAGGATGAATTTTGGGAGACCACAAAGTCCATGGCCAATGTAGGTCCACCGTTCTGGGAGAGAAGGCGGCAGGCGAGAACGTGGGTGCTATTGCGTTCTCGTTTTGGAAGGCGGAAGGATCAGAACTTCATGCCATCTTGCGTTGGATGTTTTGAAAAAAACCAAGAGGCAGTGGATGTTGAAGGCAAGAGTGAGGAGAAGGGAGAGAAGTATTTATACTGCCAGCGGACGGCTTCAGGATGTAGTGGCTATCTGTTGGGCAGTACGCGAGCCTCATGTGGTTGTCGTACTTCGCTTTGGTCTGAATTGAAGATATTTATATACCAACGTGTATCAAGAAGCTTGCAGTTTTGGAAGCCGCAGAGAAAGGACCATGGAACCCGGAAAAGAGTGTTTTGGACAACATCGGCAGTCTGTCACCAAGGACTTTCACATGGAATGCTTGGTTGTGGTTTTGATCGCAGAACACGACAAACATGGCACGCCATCGCAGTGTTTTGGGAACAAATCAAGAGGTATGTGGTTGGTAGGAAACATCATCGGATGGGCATCCTTGATTTTAGGTGCAGGCGGGAACTCCATGGAATGTAAGGGTTTTGAGTTTGGTCTCGACGTCCACTCATGCGGGCTCGTTCTCTGCGTTTTGGAGAAGGCAAATGGGAAATAATGGATGATAGAAAGAAGGGTTGGGAAAGACGAAAGGCAGTACTTATACCCTTCGACGCACGAAGCGCTCGAGCTAGTGCGCCTAGTTAGTCTCATAGCGCTGGTATACCCAAACGGCCTGCATACACTCGCGCACCACCGTCCCGTATTTAAAAAGCCTTCATGGGTAACATTTGTTCTTATTCATTGGCATCATGCCGACCTCAAGGGTAACTATTGGCTTTGCTCATCACAAAGCTCATCCCGGCTATCACAGGGAATGATCCCCACTCCCCTTACTGTCCACCAGTCTGATTATCCTTCTGTTCCATACCCACGCTCCTGCCACCAGCCTTCGTCGTGTCGCCAACGAAGTTGCCCGCCGCTAGTACAACACATTAGCACCAGCCTATGCATGCACTTCGACACCACATATCACGTACCCTTTGTCGTATCACCAGCCCCCTGCGTAATACCCGTAACAGCATCGCCAAGTCCCTTTCCACCAGCCGCGACGACATTGCCAGTCGCGTCAGTGACGCCTTGGACGCCCTTGCCGACGGTGTTTGTTGCGGCGCCTAGAGTGTTTCCTGGATTGTTAGCAAAGACTCTGCTCTCAGGTTGCGCCCCTATTGCTTGGACAATAAGCAGGTGTAATGGAACGTACCGAGACCGCTAGCAGCGGTGCCGAAGAAGCCCTTTTGTTGGTTGCTCTGCTCAGACATGATTGCTTTGTGTAGTTTACTGGTGCTGTGATTCGGGTCAAAGTAAAGGTTTCGATCTGAAAATGTGCGAAGTCTTGATTTAGGAAGTGTTGAGAGTGAGGTGTAATGTGCTTACTTCGGCCAGCCTTATGTTCTGATATGCGGTTGACCACTCTGTCCTTATGACGTAGCCAGTTGCGCCATCCTCACCTGCATCCCTGCGCGCTGCCCCTCACCTGGAAGTTGCGCAAAGACGCGCAACGCTCCTGCCGTATGCAAACGTCCCGCAGTAAGATCGACGTTTACATCACATCACATCATTGGAGGGGAACGTGCGTTCAACGGTTCCAGGGCCGGACGCAGACTTCCCTTGGCCCAGGCGCATCACAGACAGTATCACAGACAGAAGCAGAGTCATAATTTTTTACCAGTTTATTCGAACTAGATCAAGCTATTGCACAAAGAGTCATCTCCTCGTAGATCTTGCTCTCGTGTACGCAGGATCTTTTTCGCAAGTGCATGCCTAAGCAAGTTTGCTATCGTCGGCGGACACCGCATCACCAAGCCACCACTCTCTGTAAGAGGCAAAAAGAAGGAAAGGAGGATAACATGCGCATAAAGGGGGAGCGGGATTGGAGAGACCTCCACAGGAAGACGCGGTACTCCTTCTACCTCTTGGTCCTCCCTACCCCAAGGAAATCGCAGCGCAAAGAAAAGATGGAGGACTGAGGAAAACTTGGCCAAAATGCCCACCCAGAGCGCTCGTGAAAAGCGTGTGGTGTAGACCATCCCCATCTTCAGATCCGGAACGCCGTCATGAAGCATGCGCATAAAAAGAGTCATCGAGGCTTGTACCAACCAATGGTTTGAACACCCAAACCCATTTCGTGAGACCGGCCGTCAGACAACAAGGAAACTTTTGGAATCCATCGCTCTTGAAAGTCGCAGTAATGAAACCCCGCGAAATGCAGAACAATGCGCGCGCTGATGCCCCCTTCTATGCAACGAAACAGGCGATTAGATTACCGCGTGCGGTGTGGTCTATGGGTATAACCGTCACGCGCTCGAAAGGAAAGGTAATCACTCGGAAGGCTTGGCCTCCGCGTCGGCAGCAGACTCATCAGCAGCGTTGGATGTAGAGCCAGCCTCGCCGGCGTCTTCGTTGCTAAGAGCAGCAAGTGCACTGTGACATATGTTAGTAAAGATCTCGAGTAAAAACAGCACGGATCTTACCTGAAAGCGTTTGCATGAGCAGTGGCCTCCTTCTCCTTCTGCACTGGTGGTGTGCCATTGCGCGAAGAGGCGTTGGAGTCTTCACGACTACCCATGCCGGGACCGATACCCATACCACGGCGGCTACCGGCGCGGTTACCAAGCATGGACGGGCCGAGAGATCCAGCGTTGTTGAGGTTGCGTCCAGAAGCACCCTTGGACAGCTTGCGGAGATCGTCCATTTGGACACGGCTGCCAGTGTCTGGAGGAGGCTGCATGCCACCACCTGAGAACGAGCGAGCGTCGCCGCGACCCATGGGAAGACGGCCACCACCACCGCGTTGGTTTGATCGCGTGCGCTCCATCTCGGCGGCCTGTTGGGCTGCCATGGCTTCTTGATGAATCTCGGCGATGGTCTTGGGACCCTTGAGGATGTCCTTGGACTTCCAGCCGGACTTGCGCATGTCGACGGTGTCAAGCAACATGAAGTGCATACGCGAAGGAAGACCCTCCATGTTCATGACCTTCTCGATGCGCTCGAAGTACATGTTGATCATCTTGGGGCCGGCTTCGGCGGACTCCATCGTGGCACCGACAGTGCGTAGCAGCTTGACCAAGCTCTCAATAGCGGCCTCATCGGGGAGACCCTCAAAGTCGAGAAGCTTGAGCACACACTCGTGCATGATGCGCAGAGTCAACATGCCCAGCTTGTATAGCTCTCCGATGAACTGGATCAGACCGAGACCCTTACGCTTGGCTGCAGCGGCAACGTAGTACTCGTCTGACAGGAGCTTCGCCTCCTTTTCGCCTTCAGGCGCTTCGGGCAGGTTGACTTCCCAACCACGCTCGAACTCCTCTTGACAGCGGTTGAGGAGGTACTTACGGAAGAGAGCACCACCGACAACTGGCGCACCGTGCTTGTCGCGGACATTCTCATCCTTGATCTCGGTGCTCATGGTCTGCAACATGCGGCTACAGAACTTGGCGTACATGGACGACCAATGAGACTCGTCACAAGCCTTCTCAAAGGTGAGCTGAATGACCTGGCGAAGAGTGCGTCCATCAGTCTCATCCTTTGACTGTCCAGCGATCTCGAGGATTTGATCGGAAATCTTGTCGAACTTGTCGGGTGTCATCTTGTTGAGAGCGGCCTTGACCTTACGTTGTACCATATCCGGAGCCAAGTGGCCTGCGCTCATTTGAGCCTGGACAGCAGCGGGCTGAGTGAGCGACGTAGGCACCCAACCAGTCTGCGAGCGTTGGAGTGCCTTGACTTCCTGGCCGGCTGTCAATGGCATTTGCTTGGCATCTTGAGCATGGCCGCCACGGCCGCCCTTATGGCTGTTTTGGCCGCCCCTACCGCGTGAGCTGCCAACGCGAGGAGAATTGGGTTGATTGCGGTCGGCGCTCTGGTAGGAGCTTTGACGTCCTGACATCGACTGCCCGCCCATAGGAAATCCACCACGACCTCCACCTAGAACGACATGAGCAAGAGGGTTCGTCATAGAGCCACCGCGTCCGCCTTGGGCTTGCTGGAAACGCTGTTCGGATGTCGTACCTGGCGGGAGTGTGCGGCCTCCTGGCTGGAATCCACCACCTTGCCCAAATGTACCCATTCCACCGCCACCGCCAGGGCGAGAGCCTTGACGTCCACCGGCGCCCAGATGCATAGAACCGGGACGAGCAGATGGAGGACCGCGAGCAGATTGGGGCTCGTCACCAACTGTCTCCTTGAGCTTCATGTCCCAGTCAACAGATGGCTTCTCCTTGAAGACATCCTGGAATTGCAAGAGGAAGTCCTTGTCGTACTGGCGGCCCTTGCTCCGGTTGCTGTTGTTAAGAGCTGGGTTGGGGCTGGCTACGCCTTGAGGATACATGACCTCAGCACGGACTTCGAGGAAACGTGCAGTCTTGAGTGCCTGCATACCAGCAGTCGGCTGTGCGGGCTCGACAGACTTGTTCGTCTCGAGCTTGAGAGCAGCTGGCTTGGGCTTGGAGCCAGTGGGGGTCTTAGAGGGTGCAGGTGCGGCAATAGGAGCTGAGGACTCAGCGGGAGCCGCCTCTTCCTCAGTCTGAGAGGCACCAGGACCGAACATGGTGTTCTTCTTCAAGCTTGCGAAGAGAGCCTTGTCCTTGGCTTCGCGCTCGGCCTTTTGCTCAGGAGTCTCTGCTGCACGAGCAGCTTCAGCCTCTTCGGCTTCGCGCTCTAGCTTGCGCAGACGCTCCTCCTCCTGCTTGACCTTCTCGGCAGCGTTGGCCTTCTCAGCCTCGGCCTTCTTTGCCTTCTCCTCGGCGTAGCGCTTCTCATCTTCTTCGCGCTTCTTCTCTTCGGCCTCCATCTCAGCAATCATGCGGTCCATCTCTTCGTCTTCGAGGCGCTTCTTCTCAGCCTCGTCAGTTTCGGCCTTCTTGGCAGCTTCAGCATCCTCCTTCTCCTTGGCTTCAAGAGCAGCTTTGGCGTCGGCCTCTTCTTTAGCAGCAAGCTTTGCATTGGCTTCGGCCTTGGCCTCTTCCTCTGTAGCTTCCTTGGCCTTCTTCTCGGCTTCCTCTTGTAGGCGGAGCTTCTCCTGGAACTGCTTGACAAACTCGGCCTTCTTGGAAGCGGTATCTTCAGCACGAGTAGAGTCGGTGGCGCTCGGCGCGCGCGGAGGAGTGGGAGTGGCAGCAATAGCGGGAGAACGAGGGGCAGCAGGTGCAGCGGATGCTACAGCAGGCGGGGCAGGCGAGGCGCCCTTGGGCTTGAAGTCGACAACTTCACCATCAACTATACGCCGTTAGTATTGTCATATCATCGCATGCAGAGATTGCAACTTACCAGTCTTGATCTGGATGGCCTTGCTTTGCCTCTTCGGACGCTCAAAGGTGGAGCTAGGTGCGGGGCTTGCCGCCGTCATGCTAGGAGTGTGCGTGTGCGAGATGTGATTGACGTTGGTCATCGCAGGTGTGGAAGGCTGAGGAACAGCAGATGACGGGCGCTCCGACATGTTGGAGGGAGTGCGCGACATGCTCTGAGCCTGTGGCTGATGACCGTAGGGGGCGACACCGTAGGGAGACGGTTGCATTTGAGGAGGGAATCCACGACCTGGGCTGGCGGGAACACCTGGGTAGTGGATAGACTGCTGAAGTCCGTAGCTCTGCGGGTAGAAGTTGTTGTACGGGTCTAAGTTGGGCTGGGGCATGCCTCCGTAGATAGCCTGTGGGGAAATTTGTGTTAGGAATGATTCGATATTTGTACTTGAAAAGACTGAAACATTTGGTGGCGGAACAATTTGTGTGGGGACATTTGCCGAGTCCGATCGACCTTGGTTGAAAGGCCTCTCGGTCCCGACAGAAACATGGCTGGACATGGGAGAATTGTGAGAAACTCGCGATCCAGTCGAGAAAACCGATCTGCGAGATGAAGAAACTGAGGGAGTTGCTGAAATAGTGGAGGATGTACTTGCCTGTTGAGGGTACTGCTGTTGCGGGTAGTAGGGCATGCTCTGAGGATTAGCGAGGTGCTGCTGCTGATGCATAGTAGCAGGTGTCATAGCGGGGCTACGGTTCTGTGTGTAAGGAGAGCGCTGCGGGCCAGGAGGGTGGAATGGCGCAGCCTGGCCGCGGCCCATCTGAGGCATCGGGCGGAACGGCTGTGGCGAATGGTTGGCCATGTGCGGGTTGTATTGACCTTGAGGAGGGAATCCACCACGGCCTCCTCGGTTGGAGTACGAGCCGCCGCGGCCCATGTTTGCGTTGCTCATGTCGCTGTGCGCAGACTGGGAGGATTCGCGACGCATGTGTTGGGGCATCGTGTGAGAGTTTGGTTGAGGGGGCATAGCAGGGCGTGCCTGTGGTGGGGTCAGTATGTGAAGCGGAGAGAGGACTATATGGGGGGCAGGGCGCAAACTCACGTTAGGCTCAGTGCTTTCACCGCCCTGGCCACCGAACACAATGTTTGGCCTAGTGGGCAGTCCGTCGGGCTTGGGGCCTCCCGAAATAGGCGTAGGAATGGGCGATGGTGAATGAGCGGGCGAGGCAACGCGCGGGTTCTGCACCTGCGCCGGGTTCAGGTTTCCCTGGACTACGGGCGAGGCGTGGGCAGGCGCTGGTGAGCCGGCAAGCGACCCGAACTTGATACCAGAGGGCGGGCCGCCTGCAGTCGCAACCGGCGGGGTCTGCTTGATCTGGACAGACGACTTGCGCTCGTGGGCGCTGCCGTTGGGACCACCGCTGACGATGGTGGGCATGACGGGAATAGCAGGCTTGAGGGCGCCGTTGCCGTTCACCGGGGAGACAGAAGAGCTCTTGCCATGCTGCGCGTTCTGCGGTCCTCCCACTGCCACGGGCGGCGCTGCGCTAGACACGATCGTGGGTTTGGTCGCGTTGGCGTACGAGCTGCGGGCAGTGGGTTGAGCCGAACCGGCGGCCACGGTGGCGGACGATCCTGTAGAGGAGCTGTTCGCGGTCGCAGACGAGGAAGCGGCAATCGGCGGGGTTTGCGAAGTCGAGGCGGGATTACTCATGGACTCGGTGGTGGGTGAGGTGAGGTGCGGTGAGGGTGTGGAGGGCGGTCGGTAGGCTGCGCAATCGCTACCTGGCTGAGGGCGATGACGTTGGTGCTGGAATCCCAGATTCGAGCGAGGGGACGAACTCTGCGGAATTAATGAGTTGCTGGGACAGCGACTCGGGGGGTGCAGAAAAGAGTGTCGTCCGCGTGGGGAAGGGAAGGTCAGAGGTCAACTCCTTTGAGAAGGGTGTTGAGGGCTGTCCGAGCGCTTCAATGAAGAGGTCTCTGAACAGGTTTCCGTGTCCGGGAGGGGGATTTCGCCGAATAAATTCGTGAAATCGACGGGGCGGCTCGTGTGAAGATCACTGAGTCCGCTGCGTGTGTCGTGATGAGTGTTCTCGCAGTGGAGAGACGGGTGGGTGGAGGGATGGCGGTTGGGCTCTTTCGAAAATTGTTTGAGTGCCACACTAAGCCGCAACAAGGATCTTGTCCTAGCCGAGCCCTTGAAGGCAGTCCCAACACCTCGAATTCACACGGACAAATTGCCGCTTGCTTGCTTGGTGACTGCTTGCTCAGGGTCACGGGACAGTCATTTCACGATGAATTCATTGGTTCGCGCTCATAAACCATGGTGCAGATTGTGCCTTCCTCGGATACATGAGGCAAGCGCGAGGGGCTCCCACGCTGCCTCACCAATTCCAAGTCGTTGATATCGTCATCACATACGCAGTAAGCAGGACATGACACACAGTGCTGCACTGCGCCCCAATGGCCTCGTTGTGACTCCTCCTAGCAGGACGTGACTATCGTTGCCGGAGGATGGAGACAAGGCTCTAGTACGTGGGGTGCCTTGCGCTGGGCCAGGCGGCAACAGCGAGCTGAGATACATCTTCTAGCAAACACCACCGTTGCGCAGACCCATCCGTCTACCGCGTACCAAACGCCCTGTTCTCGCTCGCAGCATACAACCAGGTAGATGGTGACTTAACCTGACTATTATAGTTCAGCCCTGTGTCTCTCAGGATACACCCCGTTGCACAGCGAAGCACAGATGTGGCTATAACAAAGCAACAGCAGACAAGGCGGTCCTAGTCCCACGATACTGCCTAAGTTCTGTCAGCCATACAATGTCGAGATGCATCTCCCCTCCCGCGCAGATCGAAGAAAAATGTAAACCCACTGACGTCTTGCTGCGCATCTATGCACGATGACGGCGTGTCTCGCGGAGGCGACCATTCACGTGAAAGGCATCTCCGCCTTAACTCCATTGTCATGTGCGAACCTCAGGTATCGTTGCCACAATCGATAAGGTTGATCAGACCACTCTGTGCACCACCTCCAAAGTTACTACTGACTACAAGGCCCGACCTGACTCAGGTACGCGTCTTGAGCTTCACACGGACTCTGTTCTGTTGACCGGACGATGCATCGACAATTTTGTCGGCGACATGACTGCGCTGCGCTGCGCAAGCGATGAACAATGAACAATCATGAGACAGCGATAACATCATGATTACGACTGCTCTCAACAAAGGGTTTGTGAGGTAAGAGGGTCTTGGGGAATGCGCATGCTACGGGTCGCTTCCATCGCAGTACCAATGTCTGGAGTGGGTGGCAACCGGCGTCGATGAAGGTGGATGCAGTGAAATATGCTCTTTCGATATTGATATCCCGACCTTGGGGTAATGCAGATCTGTGCTGTCAACCGTTGCTAGCAGTATTACTGCAGTAGCTCAAGAAGGGTATTCAAGTTGTAATGACCCTGAACCATCGACCGCACGCTTGTGAGATTGCAAGAGTGCACTCTGGACTACTGTGCCACCGTATCTTTGACAACTGCATAATGATCTTGGTACTGGTATATGGGTCGTCCTTCCGTCGCAATATCGAAATCTCGATTGCCACACCTGGGGAGAATACTGTAAGTCTAGCGTGCTCGGACGCGTACAGCCCACGTTCTTACAGCGGGTACCTAGGTAGGGCCGTTCTAGTGCGCGGCCACCTCATACAACCTTGAAGAAATCTCAACAGGTGCGCTGCCGTCTACGTTAGTCTCAAGACCCAAACTTTTCCATGATGATGCAGAGTTCTAGGGGATGATTGTAAAATTCCTCCCTGACATGAGGCGGGGTCTGCTTTCTTGTGGAAGCAATGAGCTGCAACTGTGGGTCATTGCAAATGAATATGGCAATGTGAACGCATACCGCCACCAAGACATGCCCAGGCAGATGCAGGCTCTCCCATTGACTATCTATCACTTACCTGGAGATTACTGACACCAGTGACATGCCGCTTGGGGAGTCTACCCACCATCAATGCTCCCGAGGTCTCAACCCACTCAACAGCCACCATCATCGCCCGTTGCAATCCTTGACTCACACGAAACGAAACGGTGACACAACGAGACGGCAACTTCAGCAGCCGAGTGCAGCCAGCAGCTGCCGGAATCCTGTCATGCAGCGTGGCATTAGCAGCGCACAGCCGACGGTTTTGCATGCGCCGGCAGCACAGCAGAAGCAATGTCGTGGTCGCAAAAGCAACGAACACGACCGATGCTGAAACCCTGCTGCGGGTGTAATGCAGCGGTCCGTAATGCCAGGTACCGAGGCCAGACCAGATGGCTTGTGGTCTCTGGCGGTTTGGTACGACCTCTTATACTTGCGTGTGGGCGAGTCGCCTCAGCGCTGAGGATTAAACCTCACGCGCCCTACCAACGAAATGAGGCATGACGTCCGCATTCTGTCGTGTTGCGACAAAAGAGGACAGCCATGCCTAACGATGCGTTGGCCATCGCAATTCCATCAATCGCATTCGCCCCGCAGTATTCGCCTCGGGATGCCGGAGAGATGCAAGTCTGCGGAAAGCGCAATTCCCATAAATCTGGGGGTGTGGAGATGAAGGAGGAAACGAACGTCGCAGAGTCCCGCATACGGGCACCGTGGAAGAGGAAACTTTGACCGTCAGCGGCGTCGAAAAGTTCCACCTCTCATCGTCAGCCACACCCACATTACCTCGGCGAAGTGCCACTCTTACTTTCCTGTTAGAAAAGCCGCCGGCTGTGGCAGACGCAGACGCTCCTCTTCGAGTAGTCCCCCAAGCCTGCGTCTTGGGGCAAGCTCAGCTTTTAAAGCGTGCGCCAGCCTTCCGCATCTCGTATCTTGCTCCGGTGCCCGGACGCGCGAATAGGCGGGTCAGAAGGTTTGGTGTCGATGGCGCAAGCTTGCCGTCGTCCGATCGCTGGCTGCCATGGCCTTGCTCGTATCCTTCGAGGATCGCCCTGCGCCGTATCAACGCAGGTGCATAACGGCTGAGGAACCACCCTCGGGCACTAAAAGCGCCTCACAATCCTTTGGCGTTGATGGCATGTGACGGGTTGGAGTCAAAATCGACATCGTATCAAGCTGCCGTAGGATTCTTTGCTTTGCTCAAAGTACCGGCCGTGGCTGCAGATGAGGAAGTTGCATGTGGGTGGGGAGATAGCAATGCAGGTGAAAGAAGAAATTTGGAAGGTCGTGCTCGTCCCGTCTTTGTTGTCTGCATCATCCCGTCCCGCCCTTTGCTTCTTCTGGCGTGCATCGTCATTCTCCAGAGGCGCGAGAGCCTGACCCACCACGAGCGAACTTGTCGAAGAAGCATGACTGCCCAACGGCTCACACATTCTGCATCTATTCGCCATGCGTATCAGCCATTTCCAATACCTTACTGCATTTCGCTTCTCGACCGAGGCGCCGCCTTAGGTACGTATCTCTACATCATCATGGCAGCGCTACCAGAAGTCGTCGCATCCCTGCTGACCTCGGGACCTGTGGAGCGAGACGCTGGCAGCGCAACCTCCACGTGATATGCGTCTTCCACCAATCGCCTCTGATACTGGCAATTCACTCCGCGCCAAAACAGGAAAGCGACCCTGATGCGACCCGGCCAATCGCACATCCGGAACTCAGGACCGACGACAAGCACAACACAGCGTCGCAGGGCTGACCCCGAGAAATCCAGTGCCCTCCACCTCGCCAGACTGCACACTCCACGATCCTTCTCGGCTCTTGAAGTGCCAATAGGGTGTTTGTGGTGGGATAAGCCTCGAGCCTTCTCCGCACGTCATGAAGGCTAAAAGTTCCTGTCGAACCAGTTCCAGGTCGTAATTCAGCCGGGATGGCAGTCCCCTTACTCATCATTTCAGGCACGTCGTTCCGGACTCCTTGGACCGCAAAGGCGCGACTCATGTGTACCTTGCACCACACCACCGAGCTGACGGACAATATTTCTGGTAGCGCCATTGCCCAAGGTCCGGTCCGGTAAGCTCAGCGGCTAGGCTGCGATGCGAGGACGTTTGTGAAAGGAAGGAATGTGGAGGAACAAGGTGGAGGGCGTGGTGCAAAAGCAGCGACAGGGGACGCTAGCCAACGCTCGTCCTGCACATGATGCGCTCCGCAGGAGGTGAACGGTGGCCCTCGAGGGTTCTGTCGGAATGGCGTACCGCATTGCGGCGGCCTTACCCCATGGGTGAGCCACGATGACTTCAGCGCCGGCCTGCGTTGTTGTCAATGCCATGGTTGCTTCCGCTTGTGCTCGGTGTGGTCCGTCCTGAGTCGCGCGTCTTGCTTTGGTCTGGAGTAACCTGCCCCGGCCCTGCCCTTGTCGATAAGTGGCCGAAGCTAGCGAGCTTAACTCGAGAATACAAGCTGCTAGAAACGTCTCTAGAGGGCGCCTATCACACCGCCGCTGGAGCCATGCACGGCGAGCCTCATCGCACACGAAGAGCAGCCGATCAACCTAGATCACACGCTCATGCTTCCGTACCCAGCACCGGCTGCAGGACATCCTCTGCCCATTCACACGACGTCTCCGCTGAACCATGTACCATGGCCTTCTCGAAGACCACCGCTTGGAAGAAGGCGCTCTGTGAATGACCCAATTCGCCCGCGTAGCCCTTACCCCGGCCGTGCCCAGCCTAGATTAAGCCTAAGATCTTTCTCTTGCCTTGACCAGAGCACCCGCGGCTCCTCAATCTAACGA